AGTACAAGTGTGGCCATCTATGTGTAAAAACAATCGAACAAGTCGACTCATAGTGGGCATGCTATGTACTTAACTATGAGTTAAGAGTAAGTTAAGAGTTAAGTTAAGAGAGTTAAGAGAAAATATTTAATGTTATCCTGATTTGCTGTTAAATTAACACCATCTATATTTATAGCACTTGTAAGAATACGTTTTTTTTTCCCGCCAATTCAAGGAAAGGTGAAATCAGGACTAGCAGAGCCATCTATGTACAGAGATATTTCACAAAAAAAAAAAAAAAAAAATGAGTACTGCATTTTCCCTTTTCTTTATTCATTTTCCCCGGCGGCAATGGGTTAACCCATTCCCGCCGTGCATGCCATGCCAAGGCCACTGTGAGATTACTTGTTAGATTGTTTTCACACATAGATGGCTACACTTGTACTAAATCACCAATGAGCCGGTTACGAGTTCCGCCTGTCTCGCCCGTTCACCCTTTTCTTTGATTTACGAAATATTTTACGGTATCTTATTTTGCTGTTACTAATGTTAAAAAACATTATAAAAATTACAATGTTTATGATAAAAATAACACCATCGATATTTATGGCACTAGTGAAAAATACGTGTTTCAAATCAGGCGCTAACAGAGCCATCTATGGGCAGACATTTAACAAAAAAGTATAGAAAAGAGGCACAGCATTTTCCCCATTTTTTGTTCATTTTTCCCGGCGGCAATGGGTTAATACTGCGAAATGATCAGAGAAGCGCAGGGAAGAACAACTGTGCGCAGGGAAGAACAACTGTGCGCAGGGAAGAACAACTGACGTCTGATTCAACCAGATCAGTAATCACAGGGTCAAAGGAAATGAACAAAAAATGAACAAATGAACAAAAAAATGGGTTGGGAAATGAACATGATTTGTGAGACCGGATGTAGTGAGGAGCTCTTCGAATGATCTTTCCCTAATGTTATAATAGTTTTGCAGGAAAATTAATTAATTTATATAATCATAATTAATTTACCCCCCCAATCCCTTGCCCGTTGTTGTCGTGGGGGGGCTTAGGAGGCGGAGACTGGGACCCAATGATGGGGAACTCCCCAACCTTGGGACTCAGCCCTCGACTCAACTAATTATGCATGGTCTTTTTTTTCCCTTCCCACTTTTGTTTCTGTCCCTTCACCAAACCCTTCTGCTATCCACCTCCTAAGGTGTGAGAGCCGTGCTGAAAGGATGAAAGGCTGACTTTGTGCCAGTCCTGAACGGCCTGAGGGAGCCATGGGCACGGTATTCCCCTGATTTAGTTATCTAGCCCTTACCCCTCAAGGAGACCCTGAGGGGTGGACTGCTTTTATCCCCAACATAATCCAGGCTTCCCATGGCCAGTAATGAAAATATATCCCCACTGTTAGGGGCAATGAGGCTTGCCCCTTTATCAAATAGCCCCAACGAAGTAAACCCACCCGATTCCCCGACCCCAGGCTCTCCTTTGACCACGGCTCCAAACACTGCAATAACTACCCCTTCACCAATGCCTACTAGTACAGTAGCCAACAATCAACCCTCAAGGGACATTTCCACTCTCCCAGCATGCCCAACTTCAACACCTCTACCCCCACAACCTCCAACATCAACCACCCCATCCTCCCTTATTAATACCTTACAGCCTTATAGCCCACCTCTCCATAACACTACCTCCATCAACACTACTCCATCTTCGTCACGCCCTCGCCCTTCTACCACCCCTATCTCTAAAACAATCTTGAATACTCTCTTCAGTGCAGCTAAATGGGACCGATTTTTCGTGATCCCTCCCACAGCTCCCTACTCTAACAACACCCTTCTCTTCCAACAATGCCTCCAAAAACAAGTAGGTAAAGTCTCTTTCCGTAGCCGACCCGACCGCTCCCGTCTTGTAACAGTAACATCCGAAAACCAAGCCATAGCACTAACAAAACTAACTGACCTATATGGTAACCCCATCCTAGCAGAACCCCATCCAACCCTCAATACTTGCACCGGAACAGTCTCAATCTCACCAGCAAATTGCCCAATCTATGACAAAGAATGGTCAGATTGTGGAGAAGATCTACTTGCCTGTCTCACAGACTACGATGCAACATCAGTACAATGCTATTCCATCCCCCCCAGAGGTCATCGAAAGAAACCCACTAACATAGCCAAAATTACCTTCCGTAGACATGACCTTCCCTTTAACGTCTACATAGGAGGAGAATCCCTCCCTGTTCGTCCATACCAACCTCCTCCACGTCAGTGCCAAAATTGTTGGCGTCTAGGACACCCAGCCAAACACTGCCGTTCCACAGCCAGATGCCCATTATGTGCCCAACCTGGCCATACCCGATCTAACTGCTCTGCACAATCACGCACATGTGCCAACTGTGGCGGCCCCCATAATGTATTTTATAGGGGCTGTCCCACCTACAAATTTGAATCTGAGGTAGCAACTCTCAGATTCAAACTCGGACTCACACTGCGTGAAGCCAGACAGGAAGCACGTCGACGTGGATTCTCTCTTACTCCTTACTCCAGTAATACTGCTCATCCTAACACTTCTCCTAAACCCACCCCTCCTACATCTAACCCCCCCACTAACCCCACCTACCTTCCCCAGTCAAACTCTTTTGCCATCCTAAATCCAGAAACTCCAATCTCTACTACAGATACTCCAATCACCACTACAACCCCAACACCTTCCCCTCTCCCTCCTCGCACTCCCCGTAACAGACAGAACAAACGTTCCACCCCCTCTTCCCCTACCACACAATCACCCCCACCATCCTTTGCCCGTACTCTTGAGACACCAGTCCTCTCTTCCCCCCCTCACAAGAAATCCTTTATCCCCCAAAACTCCCCAACCAACTCCACAGAAGAAACTATTGAAAATATTCAAGGTTACTTAATGAAAACCGACACTCAACCTACAACTCCTGCTCCTTCCACACTCCAAGTAATTGCTGATATCCATCCTCCTCCTAACGATATCCCCCCTACACCCTACCCTCCTACCCCCTCCCAACACAGCCCATCCCCCCTGACCCTGCCCACATTAACTCTCCCACCATCCCCTCTATCCCTTCCACTCCCTCCTGGATACACACGTGAATCCCTTATGTCACAAGTATCCCCTTCCTCAGACCCTCCCATCTCCTAATACCCCTCCTGATAGAACACCAACTCCCACACCTCTCCCATCTCAAACCTCTCAGTCCTTATCCCACCCTCTAGCTGCTTCCCCTTCAAATTCTCCAACACGTACTACAATCTATATCACTAAATCAACGAAAGTATAACTATCCTTCATTGGAATATTCGCGGTTTCCGCTCCCACAGACCTGACCATCATATCCTTTCCTCTTATAACCCATCTATTGTATGCCTTCAAGAAACCTTTCTTATGCATACCCTTTATCTAATATAACACCCGACCTTAACCCTTTCACTCACTAATTCCTTTGCCCAGCTTAGACAACTAATCACTAACTCAACCACCCTTCACTAACATTAACTATAGTGCTACATGACCTTAGATGTCTAGCACATTTATCTTGCTTTTAACCATTAACCATTAACCATCTACTAGTCCTGATTTCACCTCTCCTTGAATTTGCGGGAAAAAAAACGTATTCTTACTAGTGCTATAAATATAGATAGTATTATTTTTAACAGCAAGTTAGTATAACGTTAAATATTTTCGTAAATCGATGAAAAGGGTGAACGGGCGAGACAGGCAGTACTCGTAATTGGCTCACTGGTGATTTAGTACAAGTGTAGCCATCTATGTGTAAAAACAATCGAACAAGTCGACTCACAGTGGGCATGATATGTACTTAACTATGAGTTAAGAGTAAGTTAAGAGTTAAGTTAAGAGAGTTAAAAGAAAATATTTAACGTTATCCTAATTTGCTGTTAAATTAACACCATCTATATTTATAGCACTTGTAAGAATACGTTTTTTTTTCCCGCCAATTCAAGGAGAGGTGAAATCAGGACTAGCAGAGCCATCTATGTACAGAGATATTTCACAAAAAATATTTAAAGAATGAGTACTGCATTTTCCGTTTTCTTTATTCATTTTTCCCGGCGGCAATGGGTTAATACTGCGAAATGATCAGAGAAGCGCAGGGAAGAACAACTGTGCGCAGGGAAGAACAACTGACGTCTGATTCAACCAGATCAGTAATCACAGGTCAGAAATGAACAAAAAATGAACAAATGAACAAAAAAATGGGTTGGAAAATGAACATGATTTGTGAGACCGGATGTAGTGAGGAGCTCTTCGAATGATCTTTCCCTAATATTATAATAGTTTTGCAGGAAAATGAATTAATTTATACTTTTAATCATTATTAATTTACAATTTAGTTTGATTCCATTTGTTACAATGGATATTCTTGGTGTGACATACTGTATGTTTCATTTTGCTTCTAAGTTATCCCCAGCGTGCAAGGAATGGCCGGGGTTAGCATCCACTGGCGGCGAGGGATTCGAACGCAGGTCAGCAAGATTGCTAGACGAGAGAGAGAGAGAGAGAGAGACATAGAGAGAGAGAGAGAGAGAACGAGACAGAGAGACATACAATAACAATGTATGAAGGAAAGAGAAACAACATAGAGAGAGAGAGAGAGAGAGAGAGAGATTACTAGACGAGAGAGAGAGAGAGAGAGAGAGAGAGAGAGAGAGAGAGAGATTACTAGACGAGAGAGAGAGAGAGAGAGAGAGAGAGAGAGAGAGAGAGAGAGAGAGAGAGAGAGAGATTACTAGACGAGACAGAGAGAGAGAGAGAGAGAGAGAGATTGCTAGACGAGAGAGAGAGAGAGAGAGATTGCTAGACGAGACAGAGAGAGAGAGAGAGAGATTGCTAGACGAGAGAGAGAGAGAGAGAGAGAGATAGCTAGACGAGATCGCTACCGCTGCACCACACAGTAGAGTAGAGAGAGAGAGAGAAAGAAGCAAGATTCTCCATGCACAGGAGTATTCATAGAGAATATTATCCAG